CGTGATTATGACCAGATTATCATCTTGTGGTCCTGTTGAAAGTTAACTATTACTCAGGTCATTGCAGCATCTGTGAAATTGTGCCATGGGTTATTTCACTTGTGAGGATCTTGATTTTAACTTCTCAACTGAAAGATGGCATCTCTGACAGTGTGGTTTTCCCTCAGTACTGCATTGAAGTATCAGCACATATTTTAGACACCTCTCTGGAGTGGGTAATGAATGGATGGCATTCCAACTTGGGCAAAAGTACTTCAGATAGAGACTGGATCATCACTGATACCTTATCAGATTATTCATTTCCATTCTTTGTCAGAAAGAGTCTTAACTTTCTCATATTCGTTAACTTTTCAAGTCCTTTTTCAATTTCCGTAGCACCTGAGCAGAAATTTACTAAACAGCCCATGACCACATCTATCTAGAAGAACAAGGGTAGCAGATAAATGGGAACACCACCAACTACAAGTTCCCCTCCAAGTCACTCACCATCCTGACGTGAAAATATGTCATTGTTCCTTCACTGTCTCTGGGTCAAAATCCTGGAATTACCTGCCTAATGACATCAAAGGTCAATCCACAGCAGGTGGACTGGAGCAGTTCAAGAAGGTAGCTCACCACCACCTTCTCATGGACAACTAGGGATGGGCAATGAATGCTGGCCAACCAGCAATGCCCACCTCCCACAAATGAATAAAAAAAAGTCACTATGACAGACCCTCCTTCTCGGCCTCATCTCCTTGCCTGAGGCATGGTGACCCTCAGATTAAACTACCACCAGTCACCTCTCTCCAATGACAGCATAGCCCTATGTTCCTCTGGGACTGTGGTGTCATTACTTTTAATGTCTTATTTTAGCATCAAATTTTAAAAAAAGACATCTGCTGCTAAAGTGTTGCCTACAAGAATCAGGGAAGCTAAGGAATTTTATATTCTAAACTGTTCTTCATTGATATTATACTGGAACCCACCCAGGAGAGAAAGGACTTGCTCCTCTTCTGGATGTTTCATCTTCTGGTTGGCGTCATACAAGGTCTTATTGTCTCTTAAAAGACTCCTCAGTAGTCTGTATACACTTTAACAATAATCTTCTATTTAGAGGCTGATGAGCTACATAGATTAGAGGCTTCTATATGATGTTGCTGTCGGTATCTCCTCATTCTGTTGTCGGATGTTAAATATTGAGTTGTTGAAGGTAGGAAGGTAAACAAGGGTTGGGTTTTGATCAGTTAATTATAATTAGATGTATACATATAATGATGTACAATATCATGACATATCTGATGGATTTATTTAAAAATCATTGAAGTGTAGAAGGGCTTATGGTAGTGTCCCTACCTCTAGACCAGATGTTCCAGGTTCAAGATCCAGCTACCATGAAGGTGTGTTATTGCATGTCTGACAGGTTGTTTTTGAAAAATGTACTTTTCAAAGAGAGATGAACCAGCCCACACTGCGGGTGGGGGTAGTGGGTGCATCATTTAGAGTCAAAAACAGAAATTGCTGGAAAAGCTCAGCAGGTCTATCTGTTGAGAGAAATCAGAGTTAACGTTTCTGAAGAAAGGTCACTTTACCTGAAATGTTAACTTTGATTTCTCTCCACAATGCTACCAGACCTGCTGATTTACAGCATCTGCAGTTTTTTTTGTTTTGTTTTTTATTTAGCATCATTTAGAGTATTGATAGAAGCTCTGTGGCAAGTAATAAACAGTCTCCATTAAGGCATCTGTTCCCTGAACTTGCACTGCGTTTTGATGGAACATTGTAGCAGGCCTAGGGCAGGAGTTTTAGTATGAAATGGTTTATTGAAATGGTAGGCAACTGGGAGATCAGGATCGTTCCTATAGGTAGAGCGGACGTGTTTCACCCGGTCTGTGTTTGGCCATATCAATATAAAGAAGACCGTATTATGAGCAGCCCTCTATTTTGCATTATCATTTAGTCAGGAAGTGTGCTATACAAATGTAAGCCTTTCTTCATGCCATATGATGGTGAATATTTTCAAATGCCATGCAAAGTAAATAAAATATCTCTTTGTATGATAGCTTATATACTTGAATATTTTTGCTATTCCCAATATGCAGGAAGTAGAAAGCAGTAACATGCCTTAGTGTGTAACCAGCCGAGAACCAATGGAATCTTTCCGTACTTGTTTCATTTCAGTTGTCACCAATTCTCTTATCCTACATTCTACATTACAAATTGAAGTGGTTTTCCTCTTTAAGGAAGGATTTAAATGCATTGAGGTGATTGAGGAGGTTTTCTAGACTGATACCTGGAATGAGTTGGTTTTCTTATGAAGAACTGGGCTGGTTATCACTGGAGTTTCGTAGATTGAAGGGTGACTTGATTGGAAGTGTATAAGATCCTGAATGGTCTTGAACACAGAAAGGATGTTGCCTATTGTGTGTGAATCCAGAACTAAGGGGCAAAGTTGTAAAATTAGGGGTTGCCTTTTAGGTGAGAAGAATTATGTCCTTTTTGAATATGTATGGCTTTGGAAGTTTCTGCTGGTGATGGAGATGCCATTGAATATTGTTAAGGTGGAAGTAGATAGATCCTTATAAAATCCCTACAGAGTGGGAATTGGCCATTCAACCCATACCAACCCTCACAGACTCGCCCCCACCCTATAACCCTGCTTTGCCCATGGCTAATGCAGCGCACTATGGAATAATTTAGCATAGCCAATCCACCTAACCCGCACATCTTTGGACTGTGGGATGAAACCAGAGCAAACCCACATAGACACAGGGAGAATATGCAAACCTCCACATGGACAGTCATCAGAGGATGGAATTGAACCCAGGTCCTTGGTGCTGTGAGGCAGCAGTGCTGACCACTGAGCCACTATGCCACCCTTGTTAGTCAGGGAAATGAGAGATTCTCGAGGAAGGATAGGAATGTGGAATTTGGAACACCAACAGATCAGCTAGGATCCTATTGAAAGGTGGAGCATGCTCAAGAGGCTGAATAGCTGCTGGTAATTCACATGAATTGACTCAGTACTTCCGGAGCCAGACTGGCAGGGGTGGTGACTCAGTCAGCCTACACCAGACTCTACTGTGTTGAATTATTGATAGCAATCTTTATAAAATACCACATAACTTATTAAAATTATACCTTCCTGGAGATCACTTCCATTGTCGATTCACCACAGCCTGCCTGGAATCCCAGCTCTCCTGACTGTCAAACTGCCCCAAGGAGCCAAAACTGAAGTCTGACTACTTGCTGCAAGTAGAATTATAAAAAGCCCACAGTGTGGAAGCTGGCCATTCAGCCCATCGTGTCCACACCGACCCTCCGAAGAGCATTCCACCCCCCCCTTGCATTTCCCATGGCTAATTCATCTAGCCTACTCATCTCTGGACATGATGGGAAATTTAGCAAGGACAATCCATCTAATCTGCATATCTTTGGACAAGTGGTCATTTGAAGAGATGATCCCAGTGGCAAATGGTATAGGGAGGTGGGTATAAGGTATAGGGTTAGGGTACTGAGTTGGATGATCATTCACAAATATGAAATGGTGGAGCAGGCCTAAAGGATCAAAAGGCCTATTCTGGCATCTAGCTTTCTAAAGTTTTAGCATATGGTTGAACTCCTTGTGCCATTCATTGTAAGTTGGAAGATAAACTATTCCATAATAATGGGAGTAGCATTATTCTATTGCAGTATATTTAATTCATTCACATTACTGGCTGGGCTGGCATTATTGCTTATCCCTTTAAGAGTCAGGAGTCACTGGAAAATTTCCTTCCTTGAAGGACATTAGTGATCTGAATGATCATAGAGTCATACAGCACGGAAACAGACCCTTCAGTCCAACCAGTCCATGCCGACCATAATCCCAAACTTAACTAGCCCCATCTGCCTGTGCTTGGCCCATATCCCTTCACAGATTTCTCAATCTTACACTTACCCAAATGTCTTTTAAATATTGTAACCGTACCCGCGTCCACCACTTTCTTTGGAAGTTCATTCCACACATGAAAAATTGTCCCTCATGTCTTTTTAAAATCTTTCTCCTCTCACCTTAAAAATATGCCTCCTTAGTCTTGAAATCCCCCACCCTAGGGAAAAGACACCTGCCATTTTTCTTATCGATACCCCTCATGATTTTATAAATTTCTATAAGGCCACCTCTCAAAATGATGCGCAGTGGAAATTCATCCCAAGGAAGAAGACATACTGAGGAGAAGGGGTGACCATAGCTGACAAGGGACAGCGTAAAAGTAAAGGAAGAGGCATACAATGTGTCCTTTATAACAATGTTCATTTCAGTCAGCTGGTCTTTGATTCTACAGTTTTATTAGGTTCAGATTTAACCATCCCCCAGAACATTAACTCAGAGTTCTGGATTACTAGTCTACTGATGCCACTACTGTGTCATCAACTCCCTCTCTGTCCAATAGCTAAGGTACTAGCTACATGTAACCAATTGGATTCAAGCCCAACTCCAGGGAAACTTCAGGAACAGAAACAGAAATTGCTGCAGAAACTTGGCACGTCTGACAGCATCTGTGGAGAGAGAGAAGCAGAGTTAATGTTTCGGGTCTAGTGACCCTTCTTCTGACTCGATGTTAATTCTGCTTCTTTCACCATAGTTGCTGCCTGACCTACTAAGTTTCTCCAGCAATTTCTGTTTCTGTTTCAGATCTCCAGCATCTGCAGTTCTTTGTTTTAATGGAAACTTCTGGGGCTGCCCTGAATTTTGAGAGGGGTAGATGGAGGAACCTAATTGGGCAGGAGGCCAAAGTTAGTTGTCCTGTTTTGGCACCATCACTTTGATAACTTGTTATGATCTCTCTAGCTTAATTAGTTTGTACACTTTTGGATTGCTTGTTACATTGGTTAGACCCTCAGCATCCGACTCTTATAGCTAGCATGTTATTCCAGTCATTTAGTTTGTCTTCAGTTCCACATTATTTTTATTTTTTTACAATTATCTCTCTGCCTTATTTAATTGGATTGTATGATGTGGAGGTGCTGGTGTTGGACTGGGGTGGACGAGGTCAGAAATTACGACACCAGGCTATACACACTTGTGTTTTCAAATAAACCTGTTGGACTATAACCTGGTGTTGTGTGATTTTTGACCTAATTGGATTGTAGATCAACCCCTCACTTGTTATTCAGCTGTTGACACTTCACTCCACCATTTGTATGAAATTTTGATCTCTCTGGTTATAAAGCCTGTTCATTTTCTGAAGAAGGATCCAGACCTGAAACGTCAGCTTTCCTGCTCCTCTGATGCTGCATCGCCTGCTGTGTTCATCCAGCTCTACACCTTGTTATCTCTGTTCCTGGGTGCTCTCTTCACTTCAACTGAAGAAGGGGCAATGCTTCGATAGCTCGTGATTTCAAATAAACCTGTTGGACTATAACCCGGTGTAGTGTGACTTTTGACCTTGTCCACCTCAGTCCAACACTGGCACCTCCACTTCAAGTCAAAATTTTGGTACTAAATTCTCAACCTTTTAGGCAAGTTGTCTTTCCTGAGCGTCATGGTCAGCAACCACTTTTGTATTCATCAGCTGTGATCCTACTGAATGGCAGGACAGGCTTGAAGGGCCGAATAGTCTACTCCTATTCCGATCCACTTACAGGATGCTTCTTCTTTTCGATGCTGCATCTTTGGCCGTACTGCAAACTCTCATTGTAATGCTGCAGTGAGAACCTTGTATGCTCAGGGACACACCCAGCTTATGGACTGGATCAGGGTGCATCTCTGGGCATGGCTCAATTACTCCAACTCTACTTGGATGCTCACAGCATCCCCAATTTGCGTTGCTTTTTGGCACTTTGTCCCCCCTCAGCTGAGATACCAGACCCATATCTTGTCTATTTAATGCAGGCACAAAGTTTTTCATGGTTATCAGCAGGCCTCGGTCAAGTCAAAGGGGATAGCTATTCGCTCACCGGCTTCTGGAATAGCAAGTGAAGGGCAGCCTCCAATACCAGTCCAGGTCCTGGTCAGAGTCAGGGCCCTATCCTCCTAAGGGGTGAGGACCTGAATGTTTGGAGGCCTATCGACTGCCTTGACTTTTTCAGTCCTCTTGTGGGCTGTTCTCCTGGTGGAATGAGAGAGGGGCAGGTAATGCAGAGATGAAATTGGGTGGCACAGTTGTTACTGCAGGTTGGGAAGGTATTTCGAGTGAGTGAGTAGGCAGCACACAGGGCATGCAGGGTTAGAGTTTGGTGTAGGTGAGAGCGAGTGGGGAAGATGTTGCAGGCAGTGGTGAGGGTGGTAGAGCAATAGCCTTGGTGGGAGGTGGATTTAGTAGCAGTGGTTGTGTAAGGTATGGGAGAGAAAATGGTAAAACTTATCCCGGTGGACTGTTGAAGACATTCTTCCTACAGTGCTGGGCAATCCTTCAGATGGCTATGACTGCTTTAACCTGAGTGGCAACCATGGACCAGGCTGGCCATGCTCTGGTGACATTGCGTCCTCTGCTGGTGCTGGGTGAAGAGGAAGTCCCATGTTGACACCACCCATTCAACGGGAGATGAATATTTCCGCCTGTCTGCCATATCCAGGGCCAATGTCAGGAACCATGCAGGGCAACTCTGGACCGACAGCGCTTGTCTGGGTGCACGACAGGCTTTTAAAGATGACGTGTGCAAGGATGTCGATGAATTCTGGGATATCTGCTAAGTAGCAAGTTGTTGTAGATGGCGCTTAGTAAGATGAGGTATAATCAGAAGTGAGGTAATCCCATGGGGCATGGTGAGTGTTTAATGAGGTGAGTTTGGTAAGAAATGGTGAGACAATTCCTTTCAAAAACTCGTGGCAAATTGGATTTGGGAAATTGTGAAAGATTTCTTGAGGCATAAAATGAACCATGGTTTGTAATCAGATCATCCTGAGGAGCTGGAACCTTTTCACTAACCTAATTTACCATGATTACGTTAACATTTGATTTTTGGATCGTCGTGGCATGTAAAATTAAGCTTAACCTTTTTGAACAAAATACCCCAGACCACATCCATTCCCATCAAGACTGCTACATAAATACAGCTTGACTCTTTTATCTATCAGTTTGTAATCTTTTAGGTTAAGCAAGTTTGCATCTCTGATTTAATGACTGTGTCTGGCAAAGACAAAATATTGTAAACTTGCTAACAAGTGCTGGTTACCAACTATATTTGTCAGTTCTTCAGAACTGAGGAAGGGTCACTGGACCCGAAACGTTAACTCTGATATTTTTCTTCACAGATGCTGCCAGACCTGCTGAGCATTTCCAGCAAATTTGTTTTTGTTCCTGATTTACAGCATCCGCAGTTCTTTCTATATTTGTCAGTTATTCATCATTGGTGGTCTCATTAGTCTAATCTAAAGCTGGCAGTTGGTTAGCTCAGTTGGCAGGCTGGCAAGGTTGTGATGCTAACAACATGGATTCAATTCCTACACAGGCTAAGATTACAATGAAGGACTCTCCTTCTCAACCTCTCCACTTGCCTGAAATGTGATGACCCTTGGGTTAAACTGCCACTAGTCACCTCTCTCTAATGTGAAAGTTGTCCTGTGATGACCACTTTCTGCCTTTAACCTAAACTAACCAGCTGGCTTAATTTATGATGACAAAGATAATGACTCTGGATGGCAGAAATTCAAAATAAACATCAAAAATGTTGCAAATATTTTCAGTGGTGTATTTCTATGATTGGGGTTATTGTTTCACGTCGAAACTTTCCAGTATTTTCTCCCTTTGCATGTCTCTGGTTTCGAATGAAGTTCAATCTCACTTTCAACTCTTCTGATCGGTCTTCCCCTCTTTGAGAATCGGACTTACCCTTCCCTAGCCCCTCTCAAACAGACCACATCCAGTCATCACCTTCACTTTTCCGTCCACCTGTTACTGCTTGCTTTTCTCACATTTCCAACTCTGCATCTTTTTCTTATTGTTTAAAGATGCTTCTGGTTTACATAAATACAAAAGGTACTTTTCACTCAGTGCTAACCCTTTCTGCTTCTTCTGATCCTTATTGATTGATCATGTTCTCTCAGCTTTGGATCATTTTACTCATCACAGCTGAGAAGCGCAAATTATTCAGCAAGTTGCTAATTTTTGCAAAGCACTTGAATGTTTTGCATTTGTGAACAAATCTTTGGTTTGAATTTACATTGTCGACGTTTGTTACATATAATCAACATACCTCTACACAAAAGAGCAACGATCTCTATGTGGCCTTGTTAAAATATATTCAAATAAGTAGATCTGAATACTTGGTGACTCATGTCTCATGACTTGGTGACAGTCATAAACGTAGACGTGTTTGAGAAACCTGGAACCGCTGCAAGAGAAGTGAAACATTGTCAATTGCCTCAAGCAGTGTCCTGACGGAAGCACTTGTTCAATGACACTGTACTTCTGCATAAAACAGGAGGTGCCAATGAGAAGCAGTATTCCTGCAGCTCTAGTGAGTCGATATACCTCTTTCATTTTCCTTTTCAAATGTCTAAGTCTGGAAACGATGGTGATGAGATATAGGGCAACTTTAACACAAAAGAAATGCTTTGGAAAGACTAGAACTTTTTTTCCCTGGACTATAGGAGGTTGAGGGGTGACCTTATTGAGGTTTATAAAATCATGAGGGGCATAGAGAAGGTGAATGGCAGGTGTCTTTTCCCTGGAGTGGGGGTGGGTGCGCGGATGAGGTCAAAACTAGGGGACATATTTTTAAGGTGAGAGGAGAAAGATTTAGAAAGGACACGAGGGGCAACTTTTTCACCCAGGGAGTGGTTCATGTGTGGAATGAACTGCTAGAGGAAGTGGTAGATATGGGGTACAGTTAAAATGTTTAAAACCATTTGGATAAGTACATGAATAAGAAATGTTTGGAGGGATATGGGCCAGGAGCAGGCAGGTGGGACTAGTTTAGTTTGGGAACATGGTCAGTATGGACTGGTTGGACCTAAGGGTTCGTTCTATGCTCTATAACTCTATTGATTAAAGAGAAATGGAGGGTGAACCCACCAAAAACTAGATCAAAAAAGTATGTTTTCGCGAAGATTCTGAAGGGGAAGGATGGAGCTAGAGAAGAAAAATGTGTCTTTTTAATATTTGTTCCAGGAATGTGAATGTGACCAGCAAAGCCCAATTTCCTTTTGAGTCAGTGGTGGTGAGACATCTTCTAGAGCTGCTGCAGTCCACGTGGAGCAGGTACATCCATTGTGCATGTTAGGAAGGGAGAAATTTGTGATAATGAGATGTTTCCAAGTCCGGATGGCGAGTGGCGTGTAGGTCGTGGTGTTCCTTTGTACCTGCTGCCCTTGATCTTCTAGATAGCAGAAGTTGCAGATTTGATGGGTGATGCTAAAGGAGTCATGGTGAGTTTTGGCAGTCCACCTTCTAGATGGTACATAGTGTTGCTAATGTGCGGTAGAGATGGATATATTTAAGGTGGTTGACGGGGTTCCAATCAAGCAGGCTGCTTTAGTAGCTCTGTTGATGTGCAGGGCTTGTAGAATAGGTGTGACCAATATCAATGCCACTCATTTCCATGATGCAACCCCAAAAGAACTAGTGAACAAATTGAGAGAAAGGCAGCCAGATGTGTTTGTATTACTTTCATATTACCAACCTGCAACACCCAACAAGAGGCAGGAGGTGACTGCTGTTTGGTCACATCCATCAGCCCCAGCTTCCTGTACAGTTTTAATTTATTTCCTGTATAGCACTGTCAATCTAACTCCTCCTTCATGGCAAAACCCTCCCTTTTGCAAATAGAACATTTAATTCACAAGTCAAGGCAGACATCTTAAATATCTGGGACTTGTCTGACTATATTTTTTCTGGTCTGCTCTGAAACATAAGAGAGGAATTTTTGACACCGTACTATTAAATTGGCAACTTATCTCCTTTAGGATCCTGTGAGTTGTGGTAAGGGTTTGCATTGGCAATGATAGAGTTTCCCCTTGGAGAATAGGACCAGAGGGCATAATCTCGAATAAGGCATCACATACTTAAGACAGAGATGAGACACTGCTCAATGGGCAATGGATCTGTGAAATTCTTTACCACAGAGGGCTGTTGAGGCTGGGCCATTAAGTATATTTGAGGCTAAGAAAGACAGGAGTTTATTCAGGAAGGGACTTGAGGGTTATTGAGTTAACCTTGAGGGTTAAAAGCCAGGAGAGAGGAGTTCGGGATTATCAGATCAGCCATGATCTCATTGAATGGCAGAGCAGACCTGCTAAGGTGAGTGGCCTGCTTCTGCTCCTATATCTTATGGTCTTATGGGTGACGCAAGTCAGCGATGGGGTGGCCACAAATTGGCCACATGGCTTGGACACAATCATATTGATAGCATTATTACATCTTTAGGAAAGAACTTTTATTTACTTAGCATAGTTAGAGGAGATGTGATGTTGTAATCCAGAGGTCCAAGGATGTTCTCTGGTGGTCATGGGTTGAAATTCCACTACAGCAGTTGGTGAAATTTAATTCCATTAATAAATCTGGAATATAAACCTAGTCTGAAAGACAGTGGCCATGAAACTGTTACTAACTGTTGTTAAAATCCATTTGTTCAAAAAGGCCCTTTAAGGAAGGAAATCCGCCATCCTTACCTGGTCTAGCCTACATGTGATTCCAACCCACAGCACCGTGTTTGACACTTAACTGTCCTCTGAAATGGTCCAGGATGCCATTCAGTTTGAGGGCAATCAGGGATGGGCAACAAGTGCTGGACCAGCTAGCGATGCCCATGAAAGAATTAAAAATGAACTTTTCACAATTTTGAGATGCCCCTGAAAGCAGGGTAAGGAGGATAGGAGAGCGTAAAAAGTGAAAAATGACAAGAACAGAAGCAGAATGCTATAGAACTGTATATCTATAAGAGGGAAGAGTCAGCAGTTGCATTAGATTCAGACGCCATGAGAATTGATCAAGATAGTCATGCAAGCATTAATCATAAGGGAAGGCTTGGGTGCTGGGAGTAGATGGTGGGTACAGATAAGCCCTGAAGTTATCATGGATGTGGAAGTCTGTTGAAGTTAGAGAACTCAGGGGTGTCATGGTGGCTCAGTGATTAGCACTGCAGCCTCACAGCGCCAGGGACCCAGGTTTGAATCCAGCCTCGGGCAATTGTCTGTGTGGAGGTTACACATTCTCCTTGTGTCTGTGTGGGTTTCCTCTGGGTGCTCCGTTTTCCTCCTACAGTCTAAAGGTATGCAGTTTAGGTGGATTGGCCATGGAAACTGCAACAGATAGGGTGTGGGGTGTTGAGTCTGGGTGGGATGCTATTCAGTGAGTCAGTGTGGATTTGTTGGGCCGAATGACCTGTTCCACACTGTAGGGATTCTGTGATAACTTGGCACCTCACAAGAAAATAAATTGCATCCTGCTTTTGCAGTAAATGACTGACATATAGTTTATTTTGTACCAATGTGACATGTAACCATTGTGAGGCAAAAATTTATAAATATGTTGTTTCGAGGGGTAAATGGCAGAGCGTATTGGAGCTTAACTTTGAGGTCCCTCCCACACTGTGTTGGTACAAGCTTGAATAAAGATCACCTTGTTATGACCTACTCAGACTGAAGATTCGATTTGGCTAATTCCCTCCAGCACATCCAAAGAACTTGACAGGCAATTAAATCATTTTTTTTATAAATTTAACCATGGTTGTAATGCAGGAAATACAGCTGTCAATTTTCACACAGCAGGGGTTCCCATGAAAATGATCAGATTCTGTTTCACTGAGGTTAATTTGAGGATAAATATCATCAGGACACTGGGCAGAACTTCCCTGGTCTTCCTCAAACTAGTATCATGGGATCTTTTATGCATGTAAGGGCAGTCAGGGACTCTCATTCAAAAGACAGCACCTCCAACAGTAGATCAATGACCCTGGAACATCTGCATGGTATCATGGTAAATGGAGATATTACAGTAAATGGCAGAACAAACTATTTCCAAACTGGATACGGGGAGAGATGTATCAATTCTTTCAAATGCTATGCCACAGTTGTGAAATGAAGTCCTCAGAATGTCCTCCATTCAACTTTAGAGTTCAGGCAACAATCTGCTATGTTTTGCTCTAATGGAATAGAGATTACAAAGACCTTGTGCATTATTCCAAGCCAACATCACTCTATTAAATAGAATTGCCACTCAGAGATTTGAACATTCTTTGTGCAACTACAGCAGCAGAGACTGAAGTTGGTTCATTGACAAGTCAAACAGACTTCACTGTTGAAGCGTATCCCAAGGATCATTGGTGGACACATCTTGCTTTGAAGAATGGCCAGAAAAGGCAGGAACAGGATATTCCAAGGACAATAATGACCTGCAGCGAAATGTTGCCAATTCTGATTGGTTTCTTCACAAAACACTGGAAGAGAATGATATTATGACAGAGGCAAAGGTTCCTTTGGTTGGTACACAAGTTGATTAAAGTGCCAGTGATGGGCACTGTTGTATAAGAAGTCCCAGTGGAAGCAATACATTTGCATGGTTACTTCACTGAACACATTACATTTAGCAACCGGTACAAGCAGCAGACAAAAAGACCAGGGACAAAGAGATTCCTAACTCACAAGTAAGCTATCAAAAGGCAGCTATGCAGTTCTAACAGTATGCCAGGGACACACCAGAGAGACTTTTTGACCTGCACTTGTAGAGCATAGGAATATAGAGAATAGGAGCAAGAATAGGTCATTTGGCTCTTCGAGCCTGCTCCACCATTCAGTATGATCATGGTTGATCATCCAACTCAGTCTGCTCACTCTTTAATCCCTTTAGCTCTATAATATATCTATTTTTTT